TTGTGATTTTCATGAATTTCCTTCAGTGAAATCTTCCAAAATTTTTATATCAGATCGCTTCCAGCTGGATGCGAAGTTTAAACGTGAAAAAAGTAGGGTTTGTAAAGGTAGTTTTTGCGATATTTTCAAATTTATGTCTTTTACCGCTGCAAAATATCTGGTCTTATAGATTTCCCTGAAAAACGAGGTCCGACTAAAGTAAAATATTTACTAGCAATCTGCCAAATTTTACGGAATTTCACCAAAGGAAATGCGAGAAAATTCACTGTCAGTTTTACTTTTTGTGCTCATGTTGACGTAATAAAATATTGAAAAACACTGAAGTTTTCCTTTGAGCACACGCAGATTACTTCCTCAGCGCTCACGTGATCGTAAAACTATAGGGAGCCACCTTAAGTGTTGACTCCAAATATTTTGAGACTTTGTGGAACTTTTTCGTGGGTAAAGTGTTTAGATCTTTTGGTCCTATACTGAATACTGAATGAGATATAGACTTTCAAACACTACAAAATTTCTGGGTTGCAAAAAGTGTAGCCTGTGTACATCTGCTCCCTCCTCTCAAAAAAGTCAGGGGGTGGGGGAGACATTTATGTAGTGGCGTTGTTTATGAGCTGTTGTAAATTTGGAGTTTGGAGTATTTAATATATCTTTGGACAGTTCATACTGCCATTCCATCTCAATGTTCAGAGTCGAAATTCTCATTACTTGATCAGAAACTGAAGCAAAGATTGTAGACAGTGATTAGCGTATTCAATGACTTGGCAAGGTCTCCAACTTAGCATTGTTTTCTTAAAGGTATACAAAATTAAGATAAATAGATCTCATGATTCATTCATTTTTTAAAAGTGCTTAATTATTAAGGTAACCAATTGTCTGAATGTGCCGCCTCTTGCTGTCTCTTTGCTATTTTTGGGTGAAATAAAAGTTCAATTTTCCAAGTTTTGTTATGCACATTTGTGACAATTCATGAAAGAATTCAACAGCAGTGAATTCATTTCCCTCAAGACAAATGGGATTTGTTCTAGACCAAAACTTTTTTTTCCATCTTTTCTATTTCAAGTTCTAATTTGCTGCTTAATTTATCAACCTTCTAAATAACCAATATCGCATGATAATATTCATACAACTCCATAATAAGTCCCAGAAAAAGTTTTCATTACCAGTTATTTTTAGCTATACACCACTAAAAGTAGTGGCTTGCTAGATTATTTTTGTTTTGATTGCTTGGAAGCTCTGACCTCATACTTACCGAAAATAATGTATGCTAAGGAAAGCCCTGAAACTGAAAGAGCGAATATTAATTTTAAAACTGTTGATGTGTGGATGAATTACTGACAGCTGAAACTGAAATTTTTTTTTTTCGACTATTGAAAAATTATCACACAAGGATGTCACTAAAAGCCTGCTGCCAGCTAATTTCACAGGCTAAAAAGGAAAGTTGAATATGGCTGAAATTTCACATTCGGTAAACTTTGGAGTTGCCAATAGGCCACAAAGCCAGTTGGGCTTGTTAATGAGCCGGCTTAGTGTTTTTGTAGCTGCATCCCTGATCACGTTATTTACAGTGGACCCTTACTTGTACCATGACATTTTAAATAACTTTGAATAACACAAGTAAATTATATCTTAGTGTTTAGATTTATAATTCTGGGTCATATTTAAACAAAATATGTATAAATGAGGCAGCCATTTATTCTGCAGATAATTACAACTTCCTGTCCTAATGTACTTCCTCTCAGGAAGTTCTAACTCTTGCTTTGTTGTCCAGCTGTTAAGCGTGTATTTGCCACTTCACTGCCTATCATTTTGCAATGAAACCCAGTAAATTAAGTTTGCTTCCTTTATGCTTCCTCTTTACAGATGCTTTTAAGTGCACTGAAAATACTTGCCTTCATGGTGGAACCTGTGTACCTGGAAAAGAGAATGAAAAATTACCCACATGCATGTAAGTTCTTAACATTAAACCAATTTTGGTAAAGACAAAGCAAGTTGAAGGCC